TGGATGATGGATGGATGATGGATGGATGGATACATGGATGGATGATGGATGGATGGATGATGGAGGATGGATGGACGGATGATGGATGTTGGATGGATGGATGGATGGATGGATGGATGGATGATGGACGGATGATGGATGTTGGATGGATGGATGGATGGATGGACGGATGGATACATGGATGGATGGATGGATGGATGGATGGATGGATGGATGGATGGATGGATGATGGATGTCCAGCAGAGCTAAGCATGGGTTATACTTGCACAGCATCTAAATGCATCCTGTGTCAGTGCAAGTACCAGCTCTGGAGGAAAGGCACAAAGCAGTGCCTTGGAAACTGGAGGCTAGGTGGACTTTTCCATAAAATCAGCCACATTATAAGCATGTGATCTTCATAATATACACAGTAATAATTTCCTGAAATTCCCTCTGAGGTCGAACTCAAAGGAATCTGAAACTTAGGCAAAAAATATTTGAGTAAAATTATGCAAGACTTAGAGCCAGAGAAAATGAGCAACGATTCTTGTATTGACCTCTGGTCAGACTCATATTTCCATGACAGCAAATTTATGTGAATTGTGGCATGCATCAAAACCAGAAAAGAGACATGGGCAGAAATAGTCTTTTTACTATAAGGAATATAGATTTTTGATTTTATATGACTGAGCTAGGTCTATCAATAAAAGAGAGCCCACTTTTAAGTAAAATTAAACTGAATTTTCTGCACTCTAAATATTTTATTATACTCTAGATGTGGACAAAAATTTTATGAAGTTTAGATTTTTCTTTTTCATTAGGGAAAATTCAGCTCTGTTATTTTATAATTCCAGTCAAAGAACACACACTTTATTATTTTGATGGGAGATCCTTCAGGCATCTTAACTGAAGTGGTGTACATTTTCTTTTGGTCTTGAAAAGGCACTTCACTTTCCCAAAAAAAGATTTTTATGGGGTAATGTTGAATGTATATTAAATACACATTCCTTTTTGTATATTTTGTACCATTGTACACTTATTATTGTACATTGTATTTGTTGTCATGATGTCATTTATATATGGTTGTCAAAGATGATATGCTCACAGAGTAAATGGTTATGGCTTTGGGATTTCACTTCTTGGATCTTTTATGATGAGGGTTTTTATGTTGTTGATTTTTATTCAACTAGTGTGTTGTAGCATCAAAGATATATATCTGATGGACATTCATAAAATAAAGTAAAAATATATTTGAAATTTTGGACTTGGAATGTTTGGTGGCACAGCAGCCTTTCCTGAACATTGCAGGTCTTCAGTCACAAGTAGAGTTTTTCACTGCCATCAAATTGCATTTGTCTACATCTCTTTTAATTTTTCCCTTCTCTCTCCATATGTTTTCTCAGCCATAATTACAGTTCATTCTGCAGAACACCATTTCTTTTTTCATCACTGGACCCATATCCCTGTAATGCAGAAATGCCTTAATTTTTATGAACTATATTTAATTTGACTTAATACCACACAGGTTTCATTTGGTTCCCTTCTCTTTCCATTATATTTTCCAAATAAAATGGAATGGAATTTTTTGACAGCTGTGACAGACTTTGCTGTATGACTCTCCTCAGCTCTGCTTCCAAATGATTTATCATGATGTTGTTGAACATTCTCCCAGGCAGTCTAATGGTGTATCTGGTGCAGTGCTAACATAGTGGGATGCAAACCAATACTGTAGACTTTATTTACCTTAAAATAAGAAAAGTGCATTTTCCAACAATTAGGCAAGTGCAAACTGAAATATTTGAGCTGACTTCTGCTATTCTTTTCTATCTCTGTTAAAGATCTAGTAGAGAGGGGAAGTTTCCATTTTCCCATAAGAGACAAATTTTGGAAGCCTTTAACAGTTCACTAAAAAATCAGCTGTCTGTGACCTCTTCTAGTGCTCTGCCAAAATATACTTAGAGCAACCTCCCCCTTTTCTTCCACATGGAATCCCATTAGAAAACTGTTATTTGATGCCATAAAACAATGTGAATCAGTCTGTTATGTGTTCACTTGATTAAATGGAATACATTTTATTGCTGCCTTTGCATGCTTTTCTTTGAAATCTGGAGTCAACTGAATCTCTTTGAGGATTAAGCACATTTAAGTGGTCTCTGTATAAATTATTGGCAAATTAGCAGAATGTCATTGTCTCAGCTTTGACAGTGCTTGCTAGGGGGGAAATGCACAAAGAATGTGTTCTGGCTTGGCTCTGATTGCATTAGTTGGTGTTTGTAATACAGAATACAATTGATTAAGGTTTGGGGAAAACTGCATGTCTTAGAGCCACAGTGGGAAATTACTGAGTAGCTTCAATGATCTAAAATTTTTTGTTCAAAGAAAAGATTTGACTATTTGCTTTTGAAAAATAGATTCTGGGGTTCTTTGATAGTAGAGGGGAAAGTTTCCATGTTTTTTCCTTCCATAGCCAGTAGTACCCGTAAAATCAAGGTACTTAATTATAATCAGCAGCAGGTGTCACCATTTAGGAGTCAGTGGTTGTTGACTCTTCTCCAGCAGTGACCAGATGCTTCAATGTAAGTGTAGAAGCAGCTACAATTCATGCTGACACACCAGTGGGAATGACATTTCCTCCTCAGCAAGGAATGCTGCTGGTTGGTCTGTACCATGTAACATGGAGGACTTAAACAGCTATTCTAGCTAATATTCCACAACTTTGGGAAGCACATTCCAGTCCCTCACCACCCTCACAATATTTTCTCCTAGCATGTAATCTAAATATCCCCTGTTTTGATTTAAAACCATTCCCTCTTGTTCTATTACTACCTGCCCATATAAAAAGTAACTTTTTAATAAGCCCCCCCTTAGGTACTGGAAGGCTGCAGTGAGGTGTCCCCAGAGCTTTCTCTTCTCAGTGATAACCTCAAGAGAACTCTTGTGAAGTTCTGCTTATCTTTGGGGGTGTTCTCTCTTAGTCTTTCCCCTTGTGTACTACATTCACTGAATTCCCTTGTTTTTATTTCTTGCTGAAGACTTCTGCACTGTGCTGCTTTGGTAAGATGTAAGGAGAGAGAAATAGAAATAAAAGGAAGTCAGACTCATCCTAGAATATGCAGTGTGTGTCACAGTGTACAGTGACATCCCCAGTCACCTGGCTGGATGTGCCCACACTGAATTCATGCAGCAGGAAAGAGGGAGACACAACAATGGAGTTGATCACAGGCTGCCACTGTGTTTTGGTTGTTCCTCTGGATCTGTAGAGTAGGAGCTCATCAAGAAGAATTCTCCAAGCTCCATGTACTGTGAGGCTGCTGCTGTAATAGCACCTAAAAGCCACAGCAGGGTTTTGTGATGTGTATTTGCTACCCCATCCTTTTCCTTTTGCACAACCAGCCCAGCCTGGTCCTGGCCTTTTCTTCTTGCAATAGGAAAGCTCAGTTTTGCCTTGTTTGTGTTGCTGAGAGGCTTTGAGGTGGCTCTGGATAAACAGCTCCTGCCCTTTGTCTTGCAGACTGCAGGCATTAATGAGCAGGCAATGACACCATGGACATCAGACTGTATTTGGTGATGAGTTAAGGGCTTGTTTTGGTCTCCCTTACTCTACTTGTACTAACTGGGTGAAAGATTGCAGCGGAAATCTCCTTAAACAGAGCTAAAATTTCTGGGTGTGGTCAAGATATTTTGGACATCTTTCTTCTGATTTCTGGAATTTGTTCCATTCTAGGAGAACATAATGTATTTTAAATACCTTTTGATTTTTCAATTTCAAAAGACAATTCATTTTTAAATGGGTTTGCTTATGAATAAAACCAGCTGTGTTCAATTAATTGAGCAAAAACAATCACTTGAAGAAAAAAATAAAATATTTTGGTTTTCCATGGTAGACTTTGGCCTTGCTTTCAAAATTCATTAACGATTTAAAAAAAACCCAACTCTTCTAGAAAAACCAAACCACCAAAAAACACACCCAAACCCATGAACAAAGACAAAAAAATCCCACAAATCTTGTTTATTTCAGACTGACCTGCAATCAACTTTTTGAGTCTTATTTTTCTATTCTGCCAATAAATAAAAAGTGATCAGTTTTTCACAAACCTTTTGCAATTGTGATTTTTATCTGAGAGCCAAGTTACTTGGAACTTGTGACTTCCGAATAAAAACCTAAAGATTTCTTCAGCCTCCAGTTAGGCATTGTAGATGCTGGGTTAAGTCTTGCTCTCACCTACATTTCTTCTGATTTCAGCATTTTACTCCCGAGGGTGCAGGGCTCAGAGCAGTGTGATTACTCTCAAGGCTCACAGTCAGGACACTTGGGAGGAAGTGTGACAGGACCCCCCCTGCTTTGAGGTGAATTGCTCAAATCTTTAAATATTATGGGAGCAATAAAGAGACTAGAAGAGATTGTACTCTAAACTCAAGTTTTACATAAATGGGTATAAAAACTATAAGCTGTTATAAATAAAGAAACTAAAATAGTGGTGTGAGACAACAGCAAAGAAAACAAAAATAAAATTTCCCTTTCTTAAAAGGTTTTCACACTTGTGTGGTGTGGAAAGCCTCTGCTTTGTAACTTTCCTCTTCTGTCCTGCTGTGTTTTGAAACTGGATTACTTCATCAGGCAATACCAAACAATCTGCATCCATGGACATCCCATGGAAAGTAGTGAA